CCCAAGGGCAGCATGTCAGGTCTGCGGCTCGGTGTGGGCAGCAGCGAGAGCGTTGAAGCGGAAGGAAAAGGTTAGGGGGACGCGGCATGTCCCGCAGCGCCCATTAGCCTTTCACTTGAGATCCTTTCACCGCAGCCTGAGCCATGGGTTCTTGGCCGTGTCTCCTGGAGGGGCTGGAGCGGCGCCCGTTCCGTGGCGAGCTCTGTGAGCCCCTAAGTCTCCTTTAGGGAATGTGGTCTTGGAGTTCTCTGTACGATGCTGTGTGGAAGTCTCGGCTGTTCCCGAGGGCTGGGAAATATGTCTCACGGAGGGATGAACTTTACACTTCTGCGGGCTCTTGCAGGTTTTTCCATCTTTTTGTTTGCGCACATTTTTAATTTTAAAAGCGGTGCACATGTGTGTTGGGTGCGTGTGCACGCGGGGGCATGTGAGGCAAGGAGGACGGCACACTGAACAATAAAATGCATGGCTCTGCTTGTGGGGGAGTGACCTTCCCCCTTTCTCCCATAGGACGGTCAGGAACTTTGGCCCGGATCCTGTGAAAGCCCTTCCATATTCGCCTGTTTGTATGCCACTTTGGTGACTGCCACTGGGCTACCCTGTTGGCTAAACCAGTGAAAACGCACAGTTCCAGGGCAAGAGGGGGGTAGGAATCCCAGGAAGAACAATTGGGACCAGCGAGGGCTCCCTTTCCAGAAGGGTAAGCGATGGGGATGGGTGGCAGGGCACAAACCAGGGTGGAAAGGCCACGAGGGGAAGGACGCAGGGAGATGGGGCTGATGAGAGCACTGATTCCAGCTTGAGAGTGGAAGGGAGGTAACCAGAAAGTCTCCCCTGGGGAATCTGAGTAGCCTTCATCAAACACAGGCTCTTTCTTGCAGCAGTCGGTGCAGTGAGTGTGGCAGCTGTCAAGGGGGTACCCTCTGCTCGCTGATGTAAGTCTCTAGCTGGGGAAGCTCACTTCACAGACATTTTCACTGAGGGGACCAGGACTTTCCTTGTATCTCGCCAATGCCAGTAAGGTTGCCAGATGGTTTCAACAAAAATACTGAACACCCCCCCCCCTCCACAAAAAAAAAAAAAACACTGGGGAAAAAATTATGTTGGGGGGGGATTACAGGGGATGGACCAAAGTTTTTGAGCAAAAAAAAAAAAAAAAAGCTTTGGCACGAAAGGTCGTGTTGGGCCTTACTGGGAGCTCTCTGTGGATATACGAACGTTGTGTCATGGGGGCGGGTTGGAGCCAAGGCCTCCCTAGTGAATTTGATCCAACCCATCAGAAACCGAGGGCTGCAGCGCTGTGAGCTATCTGGTAAAGGTGCTGTCTGCCCACTGCACTCTGCGGGGGGCATAATTACTCTGGCCTCATTACAGAGAGAGAGCATCTCTCACTGATGTAGCACCAGCATGGACAGGGATTATATCTCTGTAACGTCTGTCACTCCGGGGGGGGTGTCTTTTTCTCACCCCTGAGCGACCCAAGTTAGATCGACTTCAGCAGCAGTGTAGACCTGCCCCGAGTCTAATAAGGCAGCCAGGTCCCACGATTGTGAAACAGTTCTCTTCCCCGCCACGTCCGGAGGTGCCTCTTCTGACGGAAAATGAGATTGGCTGTAAGTCTTCTGTTGTCTCCGGCGTGTTGGGTCAGATTCTAATAAGTGATTAATGCCCTATGGTTTTTTGATGGTGGCTCCGGGCCATGGTGAAAGTAGGATAACAAATCTGAATGCCTGGTGTAAATATTTAGACAATACACATGCCCTTCTGTGTTGCAAATGAAAACCTTCCAGTAATCGCCCCTCACCCTGCCTCTTATTCTCACACTTGCAGGGAGTAAAACTCCATCAGTCTCATTCATGCTTCGCCGCTGGTTCCCCCGCACTTGGAGTCTGCTCAGCAGCCCTTTCGATCTCCTGGCAGCAAAGCTCAACCAGGCCTGGCTCCCAAGAAAAGACTGTGGTATCCCTGCCGCTCTGGGCTTTCAAAGCTAGACCGCGGGGTCTGTGGTTTTCAGTCTCTTTCCACTGAGAAAGGAAGGACTCAGAATAGTTGCAACCCCCAGACTGGGAGCCTGTGTGTGAAATGGTGTATTGCAGGGAACAGTCCTACTGTGGGCAAGACACCTTTTATTCCCTCCCTCTTCTATGTATTATATAGCCCCCATCGCTGTAGTGTCTGAGTCTCATGAGTATTAACCTCCCCTTGCATCACCCTTCCTATGATTCCCATGATACAGATGGGACACAGAAAGGTCAAGTGACTTGCCCAGGGTATCAAAGGTAGTCTGTGGCAGAGACAGGATTCAAACAGCACTCTTCTGAACCTCAGTCCCCTGCCTCAACTCAACCTGTCCACCCTTTTTCTAGCTTGTGAATCTGTCCATACAATGCCTGCTGGTGAAGAGAGAGGTGCAGCTATTTACTTTCTCTCCTATTAGGGACTGGGTCTTCATCACGAGCTTTTGAAAAGCCTTTGTTGGTTTGCACCTCACCATAGCTTCTAGCTGTGACTAGGTGACTGGGCAACCAAATGGCAGAGAATTTTAATGTTGACAAATGCAAAGTAATGGATATTGGAAAACGTAATCCCAACTATATGCACCCTATGTTGGGAACTAAATTAGCTGTTACCACTCAAGAAAGAGAGATCTTGGAGACATTGTGGATAGTTCTCTGAAAACATTCATTCAATGTGTAGCAGCAGTCAAAAAAAAAAAAAAAAAAAGCAAATAGAATGTTAGGAATCGTTAAGAAAGAGACAGAGAATAAAATAGAGACTATTTTATTGCCACTTTATATATCCATGGTATACCCACATCTTGACTACTGTGTGCAGATATGGTCGCCTCATCTCAAAAGTGACTTTGGAAAGATTTCAGAAATGGGGAGCAAAAATGATGATGGGAACGGAACGGCTGCCACATGAGGAGAGATTAATAAGACTGGCACTTGTCAACTTGGAAAAGAGACAACTGAGGAGGGGATGTGATAGAGGTGTATACAACCCTGCCTGGTATGGAAAAAGTAAATAAGAAAAGTTGTTTACTTGTTACCATAACACAAGAACTGGGAGGGGGGGGGGGGCGCATAAATGAAATTAATAGGTAGCAGCTTTAAAACAAACAAAAGGAAGTATTTCTTCACACATTACACAGTCAACCTGTGGAACTCCGTGCCAGAGGATGTTGTGAAGTCCAAGACTTCAACGACAAAAAAAGCTAGATAAGTCCATGTAGGATAGGACCATTAATGGCTATTAGCCAGGATGGGCAGGTATGGTGTTCCTAGCCTCTGTTAGTTACCAGCTGGGAATTGGCAACTGGGAATGGATCACTTGATGATTCCCTGTTCAGTTCAATCCCTTTGGGGTACCTGGCATAGTCCAAAGTTGGAAGACAGGACACTGGGCTGGATGGACCTTTGATGTGACCCAGTCTGCCCTCTCTTATGTTCTGTGCCTTTTGCTCCTGTGAGAACAGGGGTTGGAAGCCAGCTGGGAGGGGATCAAACACAGAATAAGACCCACAATAGCTCATCTGCCTGCTTGCAGCTTTGGGGGAGGGACCTGTACCTGTCAGTCCCTGACTAGCGCTAGGAAAAGCTAGTTACCCCTCTGTTGTGGACGGAGTGGCCCTCTCGCAGAATGAAAGAGATGAGTGAGTCACCTAGCGCTGTAGTAGTAACTGTGTCTGCTGCAATGCATGTGGACTTGATTATCCACTTCGGGTATGTCTACACTGTTGTAAAAACCCCTCCCACTTCACAGGGCCCAGAGCCTGGGCCCCAGCCCAAACATCTCCACTGCAGTTTTACAGCCCCACCACCCGAGTCTGTTGACATGGGCCAGCCGCGGTTGTTAATTGCATTGTAGACATACCCTTAGTGATCACATAGAGAAGCCAGAAAGGAACCAGGTAAATAGCCTATTACTCATAAACCGCAGTCAGGGGCTGTCTATAAATGGCCACTGTCATTAAAACTTCCAATAACTCTGCCTCCTGCTGTGTTACATCTCTGCAGCCAGCAGACTGCGTCCCCTTGGAGCCAGAGTGTGCTGTGTGGTATGGAAGCCAGGCCTTTCTTCTGCCTCCTACCTGGGACTTATCCCCTGCCATAGCCAGCGGAGCTGCTGCATTGCAACAAGGCTGGTGGGCACCTTAGACAGAGACAGAAAAAGGAGTGAGGCCGGGAGAAGAGGGTTGTGTGAAGCAGACAGATGGAGAGAGAGGGGGGTTAAGGAGGAAGCTGGGAATGCAGACAAAGTTGGAGGGCAAAAAAGGTCGCAAGAGAGGGAGTTGGTGGGGCAGAAGAAGAAGGAGGATTTGTTTGCTATCCGGCCCCCCACTCTGGTCAGAAGTCACAGAGTAGGATACAGGAGATCGAGGTTCAGTTCCTGGCTCTCACATAGCCAGTCACCAAGCTGCTCTTGTGCCTCATCTGTGCAATGGGTATCACAACCCTGCCCTGCCTCCCAGGTTTAGGGGGGAGGGGAGTTTTGAGGCGAAACCTTTTTGGTGAGAGGGGGGGCTGGGTTGAGACCTACCCAGAATGGAATGTCTCAGGCAGGGCTTAGAACCTGCTGCTAGAGTCCAGGGAGATTAGCCGCTAGTCATGGGGGCCTGGCGCTCGCTGACTGTGTGGGGAGAGCGGTGAACTTGTTTGTACTTATCCTGATCCAGCGCCCAGTGAATTCAGAAGGAGTCTTTCCACTGACAGAGCCCCAGTCGCATCAGGCCGGTCGTTGGCAGTCTCGCAGAGGCCAAGGGCTGGAGGAGGCCTGGAGACTCGCCGCTTGTGAGCATTGTGTGGGGTGAACCTGCCTTTCTGCTGCCTGTGCTCTCCCCGACCTGAGGCTACACTGAGAATTTTGGGGTCTCGGGCCGGTCTTTCACCCGCAGAGCAGCAGCAGCGGGTGCGGTGTTGTGCAAACAACACCCCATCTCTCATCTCAGGGCAGTGCCGAGGTTCCTGACGTTGCTTTCTCTCTTCCTCCTCCCACAGATATTGACGAATGCGTCGAGGGGACCGACAACTGCCACATTGACGCCCTCTGCCAGAACACCCCCAAGTCCTACAAGTGCATCTGCAAGTCCGGCTACTCCGGGGACGGGAAGCATTGCAAAGGTAGGGAGCAATGGTCGGTCCAGGGCAGAACAGCTGTGGAAAAAATCAAACCCGATCCTGAGTGTGTTTTTAAAGAGTTAGCCATTGGAGGAGTAACGTGAGTGTTGTGCTGGCTGGAGTGAAGGTTAATTCGATACGTTCTTTACAGCCAGAGATCTTTCTGCTACAGCTGCCCACAGTTGTGCGCCTTTATGGCCTTTTCCTGCCCAAATTCAGAATTTGCTTTCTGTTTTGGTAACTCTGTGGCATATCGATGCTGTGGGAGAACCACAGTGGTTCTGTTGATACTACTGTGACCATCACTACTCTGACCAAAATTGAGAAGCTGCAGTTCCTTGCCAATGAAGTGCTACTTTGGATTGGATGACACAGTGCCAAAAACAGTCCTGGCCACACGACTGCAGCTGCCACTGTTGTTACCAGCTCTGCCGTTGGGGAATTATAGGTCTTGTTTTTGCCAGTACAGGGTCAGCAGCCTTAGAGCAGTCTGTACTATGACAGCATCTATGCCAGGAGAAGGTGGGGTCCTATTTTTAATCGAAGGGTGGAATTTGGTTCTGAATGTGGAATTTGTAACTGCAAAGCCATCACCCCATACTCTTAAGAAAAGACAGATTCCCACAATTGTATCTGTTTAAATTCCAGAAGGATCCATTGGATTTTGTTTTAACTCAATAAGCATTTTATTGCCGTGTTTACAACCTAAAAACTGCAGCCTTGTGCTAGGAAGGTGTGAGATCCTGAAACCATGAAAAGGACTAGAACACAGGAGCAAAACTGACTACCTGTCTAGCACTCTGCCATATCCATCTCAAATCCTGTACACTGTCTTCTGTGATCATAGATTCACAGAATCCCAGGGCTGGAAGAGACCTCAGGAGTCACTGAGTCCAGCTCCCTGCCCAAAGCAGGACCAACCCCAACTCAATCAGCCCAGCAAGGACTTTGTCAAGCTGGGACGTAAAAACTTCTAGAGATGGAGACTCCACCGCCTCCCTAGGGAACCCATCCCAGTGCTTCCCCACCCTCCTAGGGAAATAGTTTTTCCTAATATCCAACCTAGACCTCCCTCACTGTAACTTGAGACCATTGCTCCTTCTTCTGCTATCTGTCACTGCTGAAAACAGCCTCTCTCCCTTCAAGAAGTTGAAGGCTGCTATCAAATCCCCTGCACTTGTCCTTGTTGAACCTCATGAGATGGCCCAATTCTCCAATTTGTCTAGGTCACTCTGGACCCTATCCCTGCCCTCCAGCATATCTACCTCTCTGTGTAAGGTCCATTCCAAAATCATTACATGGAAATAAAGACCAACAATAAAATAGTAGGGCTGGAGATGTAGTAGTAGTCCCAACTTTTTGCATGATTTGAAAACACACCCTGGGTTCAGAATGGGCTGGACACAAATAGCTGATAGATTCATAGAATTATGGGACTGGCAGGGGCCTCGAGAGGTCATCTAGTCCAGTCCCCTGAACTTGTGGCAAGATTAAATATTATCTAGACCAGGGCTACTCAACACATGGCCCACGGTCCATATGCTGCCCACAGCCCCTTTACTTGCAGTCCACGGTGCAGTTTGGGTTTACACGGGGCTCAACATGTGGCCTGCAGGTGGGATCCTTTGAACGTGGCCTCCACTGGGAACATGCTCCACAACGGCGTGTCATCTCCCAGGCGGGGTGAGCACTGAAAGATGCAAGCGGACGGGCTGGCTGGAATAGACAGGTACAGGGTGTCACGTTTCTAGCTCCCAGGGAGGAGGTGCTGGGAGTGCCAGGGCATTGTGGGACGTGTTGGCTGCATAGCCTTGTGGGCAGAGCCTGAGAGATGCTGACTGGCTCATGCTGGCCACGTTTGGGTCCAGTGCCACAGTTTAAGACTTAATTTTTGCATTCATGCAGGTCAGTGTGAAAGAAGCTATTTGCATATATTTTGCATATACATGCGCATGTATATGCAACCACACTTAAGTTGCAGCCCTGGGCATGTGCTGTGAGTAACATTGTGGCTCCTGGGGCTTCCAAAGTTGAATAGCCCTGATCTAGACCCTCCCTGACAGGTGTTTGTCTACATACAGTTTGAGATCAGAGATGCCTCATTTTGAAAACAGAGTGCCTTAATAACCATCTTCAGCAATTTCAGGAGATCCACATGTGAGTTCATCTTGTGCCAGAGACTCCATGAAGTCCTGCTAGGGACTTCGCTGTTGCTATTGATGCTACATGACGTAGGTGCTCATATACTATGATGGGCAGTGAGGGAAAAGCTAAAGGTAGATATTCTCTGCTCTGAACAATTCTTGCCTTAGGACTCTAAAACGGATTACAGCATGGGCAGGGCCGTCCTTACCCATACACAGAATACGCAGCAGCATAGGGCACCTGAAAATTTGGGGCACCACTGGGTCCTAGTGTCTACCCACCTGCCTCTTCCAACCCTTTTCTGTGGCTCTGCTTCCTCTGGAGAGAACCTACTTAACTTACAAGTGACAAAGCCTGCCAGGGCTATTGGAATCATAGAACACTAGGACTGGAAGGGACCTCGAGAGGTCATTGAGTCCAGTCCCCTGCCCTCATGGCAGGACCAAATACTGTCTAGACCAGTGGTTCCCAAACTTTTCAGCATCACGCCCCCTTTTTGATTTTTGAAAAACCCTCACACCTCCCCCTTTCCTCCCCCCAACAGCAAAAGTTATTGAGGAAAGAGGGGGAGGAAAAAAAGGGAACTGACAGGGACAGCAAAACTTGATGGGGGAGGGAACTGGGTTGCCTTGCCACCTCCTGAAATTTCTTCATGCCCCCCAGTTTGGGAATCCATGATCTAGACTCTAGACCATCCCTGATAGACGTCTGTCTAATCTGCTCTTAAATATCTCCTGAGATGGAGATTCCACAACTTCCCTAGGCAACTTATTCCAGTGTTTAACCACCCTGACAGGAAGTTTTTGCTAATGTCCAACCTGAACCTCCCTTGCTGCAGTTTAAGTTAATTGCTTCTTGTCCTATTAGCACAACATCAAACCTGTGAAAGAGCTAGTCAAGTGGTCATGAAGCCATTTAACAGGCATTTTTCAACCCCAGGTCTGTACTGTTGATTTCAGAATTTACTGTAAAACAATGAATAGTCCTGTGGCACAGGACTACTCGTTGTTTTTAAAGTAACAGACTAACACGCTACCCCGCTGTGAACTTACTGTTAGTCTACAGGGCCTAAGTTGAAAATTTGCTTTAAAACTGTTTCATTTGTTTGTTGCCGAAGATCATGAAATCACATCTCTAAAAAGTCGTTGTCCCCACCCAAGCAAATGCACACCAGTGTAATAGCCCTGCATAGGGCCCCATCAATCCTGCGAGTGGCCCCAAGCATGGAGGAGATTCAAGTCTGAACTCTGCACCTTCCCCCTTTTCCATCTCACCGTGGTGTTAGCACCATCCATCTTCTGTGCCCCAAGCCAGGGGATGCTGGTGTAAAGTTTGTGTGAAGAGGCTGAGGAATGTTCTGCAGCCGTATTCCAAGCCTCGGTTCTGGGACCCTCGGGGGGTCTGTAAGGGAGATACATGGCCAAAAGCTAAAGAAAGCTTCATACAAGATCTCATGTTATGTCTGAGTATGACTGGGGCTCCTAAGTTCCCATTGTGCTAGAGGTTGTAGCTAACCACCACGGGTACTTCTATACAGCACCGTTATTTTGGAATAACTGACCTTATTTCAGAATAACAAAGTGCGCGTCTACACACAAGCCGTTATTTCGACATAATGTCAAAATCATGCCCAGCTGGAAGACTGCGTACTCCGATTCCTGTTACTCTCATTGTATGAGGTTTAAGGGAAGTTGGAGGAAGAGTGCTCTATTTCGAAATAAGTGCTATGTCGACGCACCCAAATTCGAAATAAGCTCTTTGACTTAATGCTGCGCAATTAGCGTAGTTGAAGTAGGGTAGCGTATTTCAAGTTTATCCCTACAGTGTAGACGTACCCCACCAGAGACCATCCTTGCCCCAAAAACGTACAATCTGAATGTAGAAAATTGGAAGAACTGTTATTCCCGTTTTATTTTCAGTTGAGCAACTGAGGAACCGAAAAATGATGCTGATTTGCTCAAGCTCTCACAGCAGGCATCTCTGGAATCTGAGTCTCCAAACCACAAACCATCCCTCCTCCAAAGAGGAGCGTTCCCACCAAATCCCATCTTGCTTTTAGCTGTTGTAATGGCATTGGTGGTGCAAAGCAGCTATCATCAGCAGAGGTATTAGTCCCAGCGCAGTACAGACGAGCAGTGGGGAACCATTGTACAAAGCTGAGTTCCTGCACTCTGACTGCATTGCCTTCCATATCACCTTCCTGTTGAGCACAATACCCATTCCGTGAAGCACCAGAACCAGCTCTGCAGAGCTTTCGTCTGGAGCAATGAGAAAACAGGGTGGAGAGGAGGCTTCAGTTCTCCAAATCAGCCATGTCTGGAGTCTCTCAGCTTCCACTGACATGGGGAATGGTGGAGAAACAAAGAGACTGAAGAGATGACAACTAGGCAGTTGAGGTCCAAAGTCTCAGTTTTAGTGTAAGGACGAAGGAGTTTCCATACAGCTTGCTAGAAACCGAATCGTTGTTGTGAAGTTCAACAAAACGGAAGAAAGAAAAGAACCAATTTTTCAAAATGCAAATGACCCCTGGCATTTCTGCCTCCCTGTGCACAGCAATCTCAGCCTGAGGCCAAGTATTTAACAAGAGCCAGGAAGGGATTAGATATTTACACAGATACCAAGCATATCCAGAGTCGTGATAATTAATGACAACAAAATTTGGAAGGAATACTAAGACTCAGGCTTAAGCTGGCGTCTAACTGTTAGAGTCCAGGATAAGAACTGTGGGTTTCTCACAACTTTCTTTGAAGTGGTTGGTTCTGGCCCAGATGGGGTACTGGGCTGAATGGGTCTTGGGTCTGATCCAGTTTGGCAGTTCGTGGTGTTCCAGCTTTTGTACAGAGGCGCAAACCAAGAGAGTGAAAAATGGGCTGTAAACAGGAAGCAGAACTGGCAGGCTGGCCTTGTTGTGGCAGTTGAGAAAGATGCAGAGAACACAAACTGTACCAGCAGTGGAAGGTTAAACTGGATTTAATAAACCAAGGTGATTTCAGTGACCCAAGTAACGACTGTGTTTTTCTTAATTATATGTGGATGTTCCGGCGCTGCTTTATTTACTGTGCAACCCGTGGAAGTCACATCTGTAAATCTGCAAAGAAGTCAGCCCTGCAGTTTTATCTGCACATGTTATTTTAAACCTATCCAGTTCCTTACTAGGCTAGCTCACTCAGTGACCCATCCTGCCCTCTGCCCCACAGCGAGAGTCCTGCTAAGGAGCATCCTCTTTCCCCAGCCGTGTGAGTCACTTGGACAGGCCAGGACTACAGTCACCAGCTGGTCCTCACTGCAGTGCAATGGTGCCTCAGCATCAGGGGCTGCTGTAGGATTGGCTACTCTTCTATGGATGCTCCCTGTACCCAGCCCAGCCATCCTGACTTGGTGCAGAATGGGGTTGGATTTTGCTCGTGGGGTTTACAGCAAAAGTCACGGCACCCTTGCGTGGCTTGTTCTGTTGGTCACGAGCCGATGGCTTCCTGAGGTTTGAATACACGATCTCTTTTGGCAGAGGCTGATAATAGGCCTGTGGCTATGGTGCTTTGCTCCTGTAGTCTCAGCAGAGATGGTAGACCCATCCTTCCCACCATAGTGTTGCCATGGCGATGTGATAGGGAAGGCCATGAGTAACTGGAGCAAGCAATACCAAAATGCAAGTGGGTGGCGCTATCCCACCCTGGATGTGAGATGCTAGGGGTGTGCATGTTGCATGGCCCATAGGCACCGTGGTGATCAAGAGCATCACGTGTGTAACGAGTCACAAGACTTGGTGAACCTTCTCCTGTTCAGGAAGCATGTGGCTGATCTGAGCTACAGTGATGAGCCTGGAGAAGGGACTCGGGTTTCTAACAGCTCTCTGGTCTTCTCTCCCCTCTGTGCAGACGTTGATGAGTGTGAGCGGGACGATAACGCTGGCTGCGTCCACGAATGTGTCAATATCCCCGGGAATTACCGCTGCACCTGCTACGATGGTTTCCGCCTGGCGCATGATGGACACAACTGCCTGGGTAAGGGTTTGGCCAGCTGCTCGGTGGGGGCGGATGGGGCCCGGTGTCCAGGGTGATTCTGAAGCCATGGCATCTATCCCTCGCTCTGGCATCTCAGGGTGCATGTTAATTATAGGATCATAGAGATGCAGGGCTGGAAGGACCCTTGAGAATTAGTCTAGTCCATCCCCCATGCTGAGGCTGGACCAAATACTCCTAGCACACCCCTGGCTGAGTTGGGATTAACCCCACAGCATCTGGATTTAAAACTATGAGTCTCTGCTGCCAGAGTGAAAGCACCAGGTCTGACTTGAAGGCAGTAGCAGCCTCGTCCATGGTGTAACCACTGTGGGGTGCACACCAAGCTGGGGCTATGGTAGGAGGCATTGCATTTCAAAAGAGCGTGTTTCTAGTTTTTTCATGCTTGCAGAGAAAATGTGACCCCGTTGTGGTTGGTAGCTGGGTGTTTTCCTGAGTCTGCAGGCAGCCTGAAAAACAAGTTCCATTCATTTCATTGGGGTGTTGACCCTTAATCCTGCTCCTGGGCCTGAACTTGGGAGGTGCTGAGTGCTCCGTATGAGTTGCTGAGAACCTTCTACTCCCTTTGACATCAGTGAGGTAGAAGGGTCCAGACGCAGCAGGCCCACAGTTCTCCGACCTTGCATTGTGGGGCTGGGCCCAGCAGATCAGCTCTTGTGGCTGAGAAGTCTCCAGTGGAGCAGCCAGTCTCCAAACCTTTGCGATGGAACATCTTCCCCATTGGGTCTGAGGAGAATGGCTCGGAGATGCAGGGCGACCCATATTCCCTCTTATGCCTCCAGACACTCAGTACAGCATTGCACAAATCCTCCAGCTGTGAGATTTTACTGCAGTGTTTATTGCTGCAGTGTCCCAGAGAGGAATGCAAGCTGCTGTAAGTGGCCAGTCCAGCTATCAAAGTTAAAGGGCCCCCCACCCTTTCTCTAGGGTCAGGCAGACACTGCTGGGTTTCTTCACTGGAGGATTTATCATGGGAAGGATTTGTTGTGGTCCTCCGTCTGTTTTTAAACAGACCCATGCAGATCTCCATGCCCTGTCCCCTTTTTCCTGGATGGAAACAAGCTTCGCCTCTGGGGAAGGATGAAGCAAGAGCTGCATGTCTTACCGACGAGCCGGCTGCAGCTATTTTGTGCATGGACCTGCCATTGATCGTATATCTGTACAGCGCCTAGCACCAGGGGCCCAGCCTGGAAAGAAGAGACTGCGATATTCATGCAGAAATAGTTATTCGTGATTCTTCTTCTCCTCGGATTAAGGACGGGTGATGTGCCTTCAAGGAGACCAAGGCCTGCTAGTGGGGCAGGAGCTGGTTGCACTGAGAGAAGGCGAGTTTCCTTCCTACGATCGTACCATCCTCCTGTGATTGTCAGGGGGGGAGTAGAACCCATCAACCTCTTAAATGGGGAAGTTGAACAGAATACGACAGTCCCCCCAACATCCTAGTCTAACAGGATGGGCGTGAATCCCAAGAAATGCCCCTGTACATCTCCTGCCCCTCTTGAGTCTCTAATTCGTATTGAAGCCATGTGAGCTACCTTCCCACTGGGGTCAGTGGAACAACTCAGTGCAAACCCAGGCTGGCAGAGAACCTGCTGCATGTCTGAGTCCCTGCTGTAGCTCCTAAGAATCCTAACTGGGATGGTGCCAAGCTGAGTAAGGACCGTCTGAGACCTTCCCACCCCTGCTGCTTCCACCAGGAGCTCCCGCAACGATCAGGACACGGGGCTCACATGGGGGAGAAGGCAGCCTGGTGTCCTCCAGTCAGTTTTGAGTTTGGAGGAAATCTATGTCTGAGCTTCCCATAGCCAAGCCACGTTTCCTTCCTTCTGCAGAGCTGGGATCTCCGGGGGGCCCTTGTGCGCCAGCAGGGGAGATGGTTCTGGCCCAAGAGCTTTGCGCGAGCACGAAATCTTGTCTCCGTCACCAACAGAGGTTGGTCCAGCACAAGATATCATCTCACCCAGCTTGTTTCGCCGATATTCTGGGGCCACCCCGGCCACAACACTGCACACAAAAATAGAGGCAGTATGTCACTTTGCTGCTGTGGGGCCGGAATCCAGCTGCCACGACACAGATCCGGGGCTGGGCAATCCCTCTGTCTCTCATCTTGTGCCTCCTGAAGAATCTTTGGAGCCCAGGAAACTGGCTTTGGAAACGCCCAGAGCCCCGTTCCACTGGACGAGCTTACGAGGCCATGCGCAAGGTCCCCCGAATGAAACGGGAGGAGATCCGTTCTGTGCAACGGCCACTGCCTGTCCTGTCCCCAACCCTTGGCGAACTCAGAACCAAAATACTGGGTTGCTTTTCCCATGCAGCCCATCCTAAGATTCCCCTTCCAAGGTTCGTGTGCCATGTGGTATCTGCCCTGAGATGTGCCAGGGGTCCATGCAGACAGTCCTCCTGACCAGCTCCAATTGCACTGGTTTTTCTCACTGAATTGGGAGACAGCATTCCTAGAAATGTTGCTTGTCGTCAGCAAGTCCTGGCAAGTCCACGGAAGCCGCCAGCCAAGAACAGGAGCTCCCAGCTGACTGGGCACCTTGCTGAGCGACTCATGCAGGGAATCAGTCCCGTGGTGAGAGAAGGTTTAAGCGACATCAAAATGTTGGAAGACACAGGAAATGGAGAAGCAGGAACCAGCAGAGGTTCCTGTGGCCGGTGCAATGAGCTGTGGTCCCTACTCTCCATCGCCACCTTCCCATCTCCCTTTCCCTCCCCAGCCTCGCACCTCCTTTGCCCACCCACTCTGCATTTCCATGAAGCATTACTAGAGCTTCTCGCAGCTTCTGTGATCTGCTGCCTGGTGTCCCCATCTCTGCTCAGCTCTGTGCTGGAGCGTTGCAAAAGCTTCTTTTGCTTTCCCATTTCCCCGCTGTGCCCTCAGCCTGGCCTTGCAGGGTTGCACGCAGTTACCCGGCTTAGTCACGCCCTCCCATCTTCCCCCACCGCCATGCCCTGATCCCTAGCTCAGCTGTGGTCTGCAGCCTTCTAGCCGCACCCTGATTTCCCAACTCCTGCCTATCCTCAGCTTCATGCTGCAGAACGTTATAAACTGACCCAAAAATGTATGGTGGGGACAGATTCTTTTTTAAGCCAGTTTTTGTTGTGTCTGGGCGTAACAGTAAGAATGGCAGCGACAGCTGGGAATCCTCAGAATTCTTTAAACACTGACATATCCTCAGGGAAAGGCTGATTCCCGCCCACCGCCGCTGCCCCGGGACGTCATGCCGAATGAGCATCATCCCCCAGTTATGTATTTCAGACGTGATTGGGGAAAGCGGCTGCCAGCCCCGGATCTCATCCCCGAGGTGGGATCTGCGAGCGCCGAGCTCCTCCAGGGCTCAGCATTGGCAGCACTTCACGATCAGTCTCCGCTTGGGTGGGGGTTTTTCTTCCTGCGTAGGAGGAAGTGGAGCCCGAAGGCTGCTCCTCATTCCATGGCTGGCCCCCAGGAGTGCTGGGAAGTCAGCAGATCTCCTCGGGCCAGGAGAGAAGCTCTTTGCTTCCCAGCAGCCCTGCCCCAACCTGGAAGGCCCCCAGGTACCAGCACAGAAGGTTCTGAGATGCCAGGACAGAGACCGAGCTGCCTGCTTCATGCAAAGTGAAAGCTGGGTGGAGAGCAGGGCAGGTGTTGCCCTGCACCAGGCTCTGCAGCTAAAAATAACACTTGCAGCCTCCTCCTGCCTCGTGCAGCTGAATGCCATGTGAGTGCTGGCCAAGTTTGTCCTCGGCCGCCCTGTCCGAAAGGCTTGCCCGGGTGGCGACACCGAGGCAGGGGGAGGTACAGTGATGTGCACGACCACACAGGCAACCAGTGGCAGAACTGGGGACAGAATCCAGGAGATCAGCCTCAGGGAGGAGGGAGCCGATCGCACTGGTCACCACACGAGGCGCTCTCTGTCCGGGACTAGCCCCCTGAATCCTGCTGTGGAGGCCGAGGGAGCACTCAGTTCAAGGCGAGAAGTCAGGATGGGGCTAGAGCGAAGGGGCAGGTGCTCCCCATGTCTGTACACTCACCCCCCTGCACTGCCCCGGGTGTGGGAGCTGCCAGGAGCATATCTGGGTTTGAGGGGCACACCAGCATGAGCTGCCTCCCCCAGTGGCCGTGCTGGCATGCGGGTGTGCTTCTGACAGGGACACTCTGCTCTTCCCTTACTACCTGAGAAGGGACCGGATTCACTGCCCGTTCCCACTTGAGGATCCACCCTGCACCTGCCAAAATAGATGAGTCAATAGCAAGTACGGGATGCAGGGAAGTTAACCAGCATCCAGGGTGGGTAAATAATCCCCAGGCCAAAACAAACCGCGCATCTGCCCACGAGGGGCTTGCACTTCCTGTCTCGCATTGTCACGGCCCGGCCAACGGAACTAGGCCACCTGCTCTCCCACAGCATCACCCCCCTTTCTCCAGCAGCAGGCTGTGTGCGCGGTGGGCGGCGGGTCGCACGCTGGGGTAGAGCAGCCACGGGGATGGAGCCGTTCACAGTCCCGCTCGCATCACATCTCTGGAGAAGAGGCGGAAGCGCCCCATGTCGATTTCACTCTCATTAGCGCCTGCAGAGGGGTCGTTAGTGAGCTCATCGCCGGGGGGGTTACGCACACATGTTTTGCATTAGGCATAATCACCGGGATCTTGCCGTCTTCCCCATTAATAGCGAGCCTGAGATTTACACAGCTGAGGTGGGAGGGGCGGCCCTGCCTTCCTTTCCCGGGATATAGAGAGCCCCAGGAAAGGAAGCAAAGCCGGGATGAGGAGTGGCGGACGTCATGTATTTACAGAGATCCTGGCTCCAGCGGGAGGGACGGAATTCCACAGGCCTTGCAATAGATGGGCAAGAAGAGGCTGCCAGAGGGAACGGGAGCGACCGGTGGTGGAGAATAGCTGGCTTTAGATGTCCTGGGCCAACAATACTTGACTGTCAAAGCACGGGGAAGGGGGTGGTTTCATTGTTTCTTTCCCTCGTGATTAACCTCCAGCTTCG